TAAAGGCTATCCCCAAATTTTCAAATTCCAAAGTTATCCCCCAGACAAGGCACACTCACTAAAGATTTTCTGCACTGAGTGCCAATGCAAGCCAGATCTGCTTCTTACACATATGAGGTGATCATTCTTGATGTTCCTGTAAAAGTCAAGGAACTGGCTGCCAGAAGAAAAGTCAGAAGTCAAATGTGCGGACTTCCCATTAAACTCTACTCTTCAAGCACAGACACAAAGCAAACCAAAGAACATTGGCATAGAGAATTGCAGCAACAAGCTCCAGTAAAGTTTCCAGTCTTGTACCTTCCCCCACTCATATCTATTGCAGAGTCTCTGCCTAAGAGCAGACCTCCACACCTAGTCACTCTGTCTGCACCTGTGAAATGGTTCAGGTAACATTTTCTGGACCTCAAGCCAACTGGCACGGAACTGCTTATATGCATAATGCTGTTCTCTCTTGTCCCCAAGACAAGGCGGCACCCTCCAAACACTCAGTAAGCAGTCACTGGCCTGTGCTAACCCCAAACAGTGTCCAGGCACCGTCTGCAAGAATGATAGCTGGCTCCCACTAAAACTGTGCTTGGCACCATGCTGACTCATTAGCTGCACAGCCCACTGTATGGCAATATTTATGTTAATTAAGGGCCTTATTAATACTGTTGTTACTATACCATAATACTATGTTCCACCTTGGTGCAGAGCTGAGGATGTAATGGCATTTCGTAAAAAATAAACGAGCCTCACAGTACCCATTCAGAGAAGGATGCGAGTTTTATCCAATTTACAAACCAGGCAACTGTGAGATCAAAAGACTATACAATTTACTTCTCTTCAATGAAATGGTAGTAAAGAGCCAAGAATAAGGGATGGAATGCCTGATTCTTACTGCTCATATTTAGCTGCTGGACTACTATCTATGATGTTAAATTATTCATGATTTCTCAGAGGGAAGATAGGCATGCACTCACAAGAAAAGCTGTGTGCAAGAAAAAGGGTTATCAAAGTATTCACATACTCTTTCAAAGGAGTTGGCTAAGTGACAAAAATATGCTGCTGTAACACATTTTCATGTGTAGGTAGCAATTCTTCTCTACATCCCAGGGCTGGAATTGTATGTGGGGAAAACTGAACTGCTCAGTATAATGTAAAAGACAGGCCTCATTAACTCTTGGACATCTTCTCATTTCTTGGTCATAAATCCTATTACTTTGTATTACAAACTGCCATAAAACTCACAGATAAAAGATAATTTATGCTCAGTGTACAGAAGCTAATGTTTCTGTACTCCTGAGAAGCACACAACCAGAAAATGAGAAAGTATGTATGTGAAACCTTAAGCCATTCATATTGAGCATGGCTAGCATGATAAACATGACTCTAAAAGCCTAATGCTCTTCAGCCAGGGTATATTCTAATGTTAATTGATATTACCAAAATTTCAAGCATAAAATGTATGGACTGTTGCATAAAATATCCTCCATATAAAGAGTGGTTACTCCTTATTAAGAATTCAGGCTTTCCTCCCTCCCCCCACTACAGAAAAAAATGACAGCTATTCAGTACAGAGACACTTTTTTTTTTCCCTTTAATTCAAATCATCACATTAGAAAATGCTTCAGAGCAAGCATCACCTCCTGGAATTCTTACACAGCCTCCCTGTTTCTGACTGCTATCCTAATTAGTGCTGCACGGCACACAACAAAACTAACAGCCCTTGGAGTTGGCAAAATCAAAGGGAGCTCAATCTCTTATTCGCTTTTCCTCTGAAGCAATTTAAAGTCTTCGGACTTTGGCGCTGATTTTAACAGTGTTGGTTATCTGCTCAAAGAACATTTTGCTTTAGTGAAGACTGAGCAAAAGATGCATTAAATTTAGGCTGTTTGTCATTAATTTTCCTTTCCCATCCAGATGAGAGAAAATCGTTCACTGTCAACTTACAAATTCTGTAGTTACAAACTATGTTCTCATCGCTTGGGCCCTTCCACAGATGCACCTCATTTCATGCCTGCTTTCTTTTCTTAAATACTTGTTTAGCAATTTGACCTACATTGGAATTAATTTATCTGAATTTAGATACCTACAGTGTATACCTAGATCTCAGCCTACTGCCCAATTTCTCCATAGAGTCCACGCAGACAGGTATTTATAGGGTGTAATTCTTCCCATCTTTTTTCTCTTCTCCACCTCTCAGCATAGTTCATTCTTACAGGTCAGAAATCAATACAAAAGAGTTTACTTCCTTGTAGTTTTCTTCACTTTCCATGTCAAAACATTTTTATCAATATATTTCAAAAACTTGCACTGTCCGTCCATCTGTTTCTCAAGAGATGCCTCAGCACTCAAAATGCCAATTACCTTACATTCAGTACCTGGATAATTTTATTGGCTGATGAAAAAAGGCTTTTGTGTACCTGGGCATCCTTGCTTGCTAGTCTGCAGTGGATCCCAAAGCAGGCATTGTCCTTGCTGTTTTCTTCTATCACCCTTTAGACCTTTAGCAAGTCCATAAGCCTGTTTCCTACAACACTATGGACCCTTCACAAGTGTGTTAAATATTGATATATTTCTTCTGCTATATCCCTCTATATCAACTTTGTAATAATGTGAAATAACTCTCTTTCAAAGCAATTACTTAATAGATTTTATGGTGTCCTTGAGTATCTACTCACACCGTCCTCCTCCTAGTTTCTGCATTAGTAACTAAAAATTTGGCAGCTTGATTTGTTATTCTGCTTTGTATCCTTCCTAGGGTTGTTACAGGATTATCGGTTTATCTGCTCTGTCCAAATATTTTAGTCTCTGCCTAGGTACAGAGAACCACTACTAGTGTCCTGCTATAATGAATGGAGGGCTAGTATTATTTTGAAGCAAAACCATGGTTATATTTTGCTTAGATATTTTATCCAAAGAATCCAATAAAGATCAGATTCTTCTTCCCCAAGAGAGAAAGGTTTCAGATCTACATTTTATAGAAAAAGCAACATGCCAACATGCTCTTAACTTTATCATTTACATTAGCATTTGAATCTCAAAACCTTGCTTCATTTGTTGCACAGTTTCCAGACTCACATTTCAAAAAGTCAGTGGGTCTCCCACTGTGTCAAACTCCCTCCTACCTTGATTTTAAATTACAAAGGGGAGAGGGGAAAAGGAGAGAATGTAATGACTGTGGCTGTTTACAAGAGAGAAATACTATGCTGAACTCAGTACAAAAAAAAAAAAAAAAAAAAAGGACTTCCAAGCGTAGGCTCCTCATTTCTTTCTGTGTATAAACTACTCACTTGATTTTCATCTAAACTATGCAGGATTATGTTATTATCTGGAGGTACCATGACAGTTGGTTGAAGATGCTGACAGTGACAAGTTTAAACCAACAATGAAAAGCAATTTTGTGTCAAAGTTATCATTAAGATTGTTTAAACGTCTTGCCCTGCTATATCTGCCCTTTATTTCTGAGTGCTAGAAACAGCCTGAAGTTACAGAAGTCAGTTACTGGCAATGCAGACTGACAGCCAGGAATGGCAGAAAAATAATAATATCCTGTGAAACTCTCCTCATCAACAAAAAAGTATTAAATGCTTCTCATATGGCATTACTAAAAACAGAATATAAAGAAGTATCCAGCAAGCCCGAACAATTATCAACCTCCCACTTCTATTTAAACGCACAGACCATGATTTTTTTTCAAGTTGCAAAGGGTTTAATTATTCATTGAAGACTCTTCTGAAAGCAACCTTAAGCATGGCATTTTAAAGCCACTTACAGAAAAGACAAATGAAAAGAATTAAAAGTCTTTCCAGTCCAAGTAAGTGTTTTGTAAGCTAAATTGGGAATTCTCCATCTTATTTCAGCTTTTCAATACATTCTTAAATAGACCCTAAAATTAATTGACAGTGGTCAGTGAAGTACTGCACCCACAGATCAATCACAAGCGAGTTACTCCGCACTTTCAGATTCTAACCACAGTTATCCTTTAGCCCTCTTTCCCCCTCGCTCTGCTGCCTCTATCCCTTTTAGCTGTGCAACTAATGATCAGAGTCATTCCTCATCACACTGGCAAATGAGCTCCTATGACTACTATCTTTCCTGCAGATACAGTGCTTCAAAGTTGTTAATACCGCATCTGCCCCTGTGGATTTAAATCTATAATCTCATAGAACCTGGTTAATGCTTTTCTCAAATTACAATGAAGCACGTGTGGTGCAGGGTTTGGTCAAATTTATCTGCTAATGTTATTTGATTTAATGAAATAAGCTTTCCAAGATAAAAAGGGAAAGTTACTTACACTTCTAGAAACCCTGACATCAGGAAAAGATATTTCCAAACAAATAAATGAACCACTGTCAGAGAAGATCCTTCTATGCTTAGGTTTGCCTTTAATTTAAATCTTACAAGCAGAAGCCCAGCAAGATCTTTTGTGTGTGTTGTTTTATGAATCAATAAATGGAATAACAGACAAGAAAAACCACAGAAATAACACATCTTAAATAAATTCCCTCATTGAATCTAGCTGTATTCCCATCATAATGACCCGCACCACTCAGACCACATAAGAGCTCTGACTGACGTGTTTGCCAGGAACTCCCTCATAGCTTCCCCTTATACCTTTGTTTTGTTTCTCTTACTGCAAACATCCTTATTGCTACTCAACAGGTGAACGGGCTGTGTGCTAAATTTAAACTTACCGGAATCTAATTAAAAATTTTTTTTTTTTTTTCATTTATAATCAAAATGCTATATATAGCCAAATTTAGTTTTCACACTTTTGGATTTCTATATTCCTCCCCTTTTAAACAAACCTATCCTGAACAAATTAAATACAATCTTTTCCAAGGCAGGAA